AGAAGGGTAGGATCCAGCTTAATTGACCATGTGGGGTTGGTGATAGTAAAGGTATGAATAAAAATATGTCACTAAAGTTGGTCGGTCTGTCTGTGGGAACTCATGTGGAACAGAGACATTAAATCATCAGGGCAATTGCAACTGCTTGTCTGCAAAGGGTGTAAATCAAATCACTCTGCAGCCTCTTCTGCCAAAGAGAGGTTTAGTAATGACAGCAATTTGCTTTTTTTTGATCTGGTTTGCACTTTTTTGTCTGATCAGGATCCCTTCAAGTTTAGCCTTGCTCGGAGCTGTTGCAGATTTATTTTGATTGTCTAAGAAAATACAGAACAGTGGTAGTTGCACTTTCACAGTCATTCTTCAGCAGCTGTTGCAGGCAGAAGGAGGTTGTTCCATCTTCAGCTACTGGATTTTATGGGTTCTCTGGATTTTATGGCAAAGTTAGAGAAACACTCCTCAGTAATTCCAGTAGGATGGCTTGGCTTCTGCTTGTAAATTGAAATCAAGGTGACTGTAAGTAAGTTACCTGTCCCAGATCAGAGAATCTCAGAGTGGTTTGGGTTGGAAGGGACTTCAAAGTCCATCTGGTTCTACCCCCTGGCATAGGCAGGGACACCTTCCACTATCCCCGGTTGCTCCAAGCCCCACCCAGCCTAGCCTTGGACACTTCCAGGGATGAGGCAGGCACAGCTTCTCTGGAAAATCCAGAAAAGTCCCTCTCTACCTTCCCAGGGAAGGCTTTCCCCCCAATAACCCTAAGTCAGTAGGATGGAGAAGCCCTATACAATTAGTATGCTATCAACAGCTTTATTACTATTATTTACATCTTCTAGGAGGATTATAATTACAGTTCCTTAATGTTGCATCTGCAACGTACTGATTCCATGCTAACAGTTTCCATTGAAGTAATTCTGTTATAGAGGAAAATCCCTCAAGTTCAACATATTTTAAGTTCCCAGCATGCAGTTACTCTTCTGGTTGTGGGACACAGGGTCAGTCGGAAGAGAAAAATCTTGCTACCTTATTTCTGATTGTGTAGAGTTGGATTTTATTGACAAGTAAGTTATTATTGATGTATTTAAAAATAAGGAATGAAAAAGAAGATGACAGACCGTGAATTCAAGAACATAAATTAGTTAGGGTATAATCTTGAGAGAAGAATTTTTACTCAAGACATTTACTTCAGTAAATGTGGTCAAAAATTGGGAAAAAGGGAAAAGCTTGCATCCTCTTTATTCATTACATCACTGTTTCCTTTTGCTACATGGAAGAGATTACAGGGACAGATTTTATTAATTATGCCTTCTTTTTCTGATCTGATGACTAGGACTGTGAGAACTGCTGGGAAAATATCTGACATCAACTGACACAGGCTGTGGTGTTTGCTAGTAGTATCCTGCATGAAATTTTTGACTCCCCTCCACAGATTTATTTTTGCAAAGCAGCATCATGCAAACCAGATCAGGACAGAGGCAGTTTCGGGCGCAGATCCCTTGCACTATCATCAACGGAGAGACCATAAATGTTGTGATGGATGCTTGAAGGCAGTTTAATGTAGCACTGGAGAAAATGGCACAGAAGCCATTACCTCTGGAAGAGCTGCAGTTATGACAGAGAAAATAAATGGTGCTGTTACAGGAGATGTACTGACAACAAAACTCCTGCTGGCTGGGGGAGGAGAGCAGGATACTACACACAATGACCTGTTACCTGAAGTGATGTTTATTTTTGGTTTAAATCTGATGTGGAGACTGCTTGATAAAATGATGTAATCCAGTCTGACAGAAGTTTTAGTCTTAATTAGACTTGTACTTGGGAGCTGCCCAGTCTTTGCTACTGTTGAGATTCATGTCTTGACATTTCCCTACTCACCACCTGTGCATGGAGGGTTGTACCTGCACAGCTGGGGAACAGGGAATGCTGTGCTGTCAGAGGGCAGGGTTAGATGGGATATTGGGAAGAAATTCTTCCCTAGATGGGTGGTGAGGGACCGGAATGGGTTTTCCAGAGAAGCTGTAGCTGCCCCATCCCTGGAAGCATCCAAGGCCAGGTTGGACAGGGCTTGGAGCAACCTGGAATAGTGGAAGGTGTCCCTGCCTGTGGAAGAGCATGGGACTGGATGGACTTTGAGGTCTCTTCCAAACCATTCTGCGATTCTGTAATTCATTTTCAAACTGCCCAATGAAACATTTCATGTCTCTCATCCATCTCTCTCTTGCAAGTTTTTTTTTTTTTTTTTTTATCGGAGGAGTTGAGGTAACAGCTACAGGAACTGGTACAGAATGTCTTTACACATCTAGAAGTCACCTAGTAAAGAAGTCTTTCTACAGAAAATAAATGAAACAACATTTTGGGCTTTCAAACTCAACAGAATTAGTTCCTGCCTTTAAAAATATTCATTTCCTATCAAAGCTGGGTCAGACTCAGAGGGATATGCAGATATGTGATGGACTCCAGCATGCAGTGCTGAACAAGCAGAGTTATGAATCATCCTCACAGGTAGATAGATCCAAAATCATAGACAGATCCAGGAGAATAATGCTGCTGATTTCAGATAAACTGTCTGTCAGTGTATTACTGCCCAGAAGAGTTGTGGGCAACCTGCAAATGAGTTCTTGCAGTACAGTGCAGAGAATACTTGTGGGAATGGAGTTGTAGCACCCTACACTGCTACATCACCGATTGGAAAAAGATTAATTGTAAACTAAAAATGGGAGGATTCTTTTATACTGTTTGTACTGGGGTTTTTTTTTGCATAAAGTCCCAGTAGGACTTTATAGTTTTCATGTGTCTGGCCCACAGATCAGCGTAGATGAAGGGTATTATTGCTGCCCTAGTATTTTGCCCAGGATACATTTCACTGCATGTGGAGTGTCATAGTTCCACCAGCTGACTGCAGTAGGTACTAAATATGCTCATGAAGCTGATGCAGCACAAACTTTTGTTCATTTTCACATTTTTTATGGTGTTTGGGAAGGACTTGGGGTTCATCCCTCTGCAGACACCCAACCCTCTCTCAGGGCAGTAATTAATGGCACTTTGAGTGGCAGTTGCCTGTCCAGGTGTTGTATAATAACGAGCCCTGGCTGGTCAAGCCCGGACCAAACCTGAGCAGGCTCTGCAGCCTGTTACCAATTCTGAAATCATCCAGGGCTTTGATAACTCCTGCATTTTTATTGGCACCTGCCCAGTGTTTCCTCCTCAGCGCTGCTGTGTCAGTGATTTAACCTTGAGCGTACATTAAAGCCTCGCGGGGTTGCCATTATGTACAGGATTTGGAATTCAGGATTTGACTGAATCAGAGCTGATGCTCTCAGAGTGTTTCCCTGGTGCTCAACAAGCTCTTCTTCCCTGCCTCAGCCTTTTCCCTTTTTAGAGGCTCCTCCTTAATGGGTCTTGGCTCAGTATTTCTTTTAAACTCCTGTGCTTTTGTGGTTTTCCTGTCAGTGTGTGACATTTTCCTGTCTTTGGAATAGCATAGAACTCTTGAGTTTGGGAGTTTTTTCAGTGTCACTGTTGTCAAGTTGTGAGAGGAGGAAGAACTGAAAGAAGAAAGATGTAGAATGTAAATTTAATAAGCTGTTTTGAAAAGTCAAGTCAACCTCCATGTGTCACTCACTAGTGATTTGCTGAAGCAAGAAGTGCAAGATGGAATCAAATACGAGGGGGCAGGTTGGGCTAACTTCAGGATTAATATTCAGCTTTGGGAATTATCTTTATGCCTTGTTCAGAGTGCTAAATCACTTAAAGCTCAGGTTACATTCTTTGTTCTTTTTGGGCGTGTGTGCTGCCTTTTTACACTCTTTCTTTGTGTAAGGGAATTTGCTGACATTTTTGCACAATTTTTTTTTCCCTTTGCTTAACAGTTTTGTAAATATTGTCAACTATATATATTTTTTTTATCTTTAAGAAATACCATTGGCACAATCTATATATTCTCTGGAATTATTTGGAGACCTAAGCTGGTTTGAGCTAGGAGATAATGAAAAGGATTTTTTAATTCAAACTAGCAGTTTTTCTCAATGGAAAACTGCATCAACAATTCACTTTTACCAACAGTAGATGGTAGTATTCTTGTGCAGATTATTTGTTTGAGGTGTAAAACAAAGCTTTTTGAATATTATTTTTTTGTATATCCTGAAACTTCTTGAAGTTTTTTTCTCTTAGACATAAAATGATTGATCCTCACGAGTATATTTTCAGCATAAGAACCAAATGTCCTTCATCTGTAATAGTTTAATTGTTAATAGTATCAATAGTTCAGTAGTTAATAGTATTAAAGGTGCCCTACCTGCTGAAGATGACAGGTTAGGATTTGGGTTTTGTTTCTAGGCAAGGGGTTGGAGAAGGATTCTCTCCTGTGTGGCACAAAGACTTTGCATCTTCTGTGCCAGAAATTTACTATGTGCTAAGGTAAAATGCCACCACAGAACTCAGGGAGTTTGGCTGCAGCTGGACAAGGGAAATCTGTGCCAGAGGATAAATGTAATATAGATAAAAAATTAAAAATAAAAATATATATGTAATAAAAAAATTACATATATAAAAATAAAAAATACTTCCCAGCACCAGTCTGAGAAGACACAAGGGCTCAAGGTTGTTGAAGTGCTTTTCTACTGAGAGGATTGGTTTTATGTATTACACTTGATCAGACCCTCGTTTACACAGTAGCTTTGCCTCCTTGCATTCAGGCAATGCTGCTTCAGTAACTTGAGTCACTTTTGCAAACCACTGCATGTTAACTAAAATAGTGGCACATTCTGGTTGGTGATCTTATTTCCCTTTTAAGAGTGAAGAATATATATTAATTAGTGTACAATATATATAGTATATCTTAATTTGTCATGATGATCAGTGGAAGAGCAATGTGGGTTAGATTCTGAAGTGAGAAAAGGTGCATCAGGGATTAATTGGACCCTGCTCTGTCTTTTCCAAATGCATGTGGTGTGTATTTTCTGGTTTTTTCCTTCTATAATAAAGCAGCTGATCTTCCTTCCTAGGAGCACCCCATCCTTGGGCAGCCCTTTTTTGTTCTGCACCCCTGCAGAACTAATGAATTCATCTCCACTGTGCTGACTGGCCCATGGAAACACAACAGGTGAGAAGCACAACAGGTGAGAGGCACTGCTGGGCCTTGCAAGGCTTTGTGCAGTGCAGGTAAAGTAAATCAGCTGAGGAGTGAAAACGGCCAAAACAATCTCCTTGGTCTAAAAGTTTCTGTGTTGTCACAAAAAGTTAAAATATATTTGCTATTGATAAAGTGAAGGAAGTAATCTGAAGTTATGACTGTTGAGTCTGTCTGCAATTCAGAAAAAGTTGGAATAATATATTTATGATGCTTCTTTGTGTTTTTGTTTTTTTTTTCCCTAGGCACAAAAATTACATTATTCTGTGGCTCAGTACTGTAGGCCCAGTTGTGGGTCTCAGTGTGCCTCTGAGTTATGCAAAAGTAGCACCTGAGCAGAATTCAAGCACTGATTCAGCTGAAAGGTAAGAGAAAATGAAACCACCTTTTCCTCTCCCATCCTCCTGTTAGAAAGATCTGATGGATAACTGCCAGAACCATTACCTTCTCCTTTGGAGCTCTTGGGCCAGTTCACTTCCAGGACTCACCTTCCACTATTTTGCTTACCTTCCTTATTTTGCAATGAGAATTTGTGCTGAGAGAGAAGTGCTTGGACATTGCTGACACCCTCTGTGAATGCCAGGAGGCCCCTGATGTCCTGTGGTCTTCCTCAGGTGTGTGAAAGTGCTGTTGGTGGTGTGATCTGGCATAACTGCTGCAAGGATTTCAATTTAATCTCTTTTTTTTTGTGATTGATGTTTCCTCTCCAGAGCTCTGAACTGAAGGACAGGTGATGGTGAGCTGCTGCAGGCTCCCCTCGGGGTGAAGTCAAAGGGATCCTTCCTGGCTGGTAGACAATGCCAGTGTGGAAACAATTGTTCATGGCTCTTTCTTTGGCAAGAAGTGGCCACTGATTACAGTGGAAGACTTAATTGTTGGCTGCAGTTGTGGCAACACCTCTGCAGCACCACCAAGACCTGAACTCCTTTGAGACTGCATTGGCCCTTGAAGTCATTTTTCTACCACCTCCTGTGCTTGTGGCCTTGGAGAGGCTGCACAGAGAGGCACAAGCCTGTGGTTCCTTGATACAGGGTGGAGTTGCTGGGTTTGGATCTACTAAAAACTATCTCTAGAAAACCTGTGAGGTGGCAAATGCAAAACATACACAGCAAAGTGCCTGTGGGACGTGGTGTGAGCTTGTGGCACCCAGTGCATGGGCTGAGACTGCTTCACCTGGGAACCACCTTCTGCACCACAGCCTGAGGGATGGACCCCCTCATGTCCCACACCACACAAAATCCTCATCCTGGGACTGAGAAACACTTCTCTGAGAATATTGCAGGGAACAAACAGGATCGGGATTGTAACAAACAGGGAACTTGGAGCCTCCCTGTGAGTGAGCACCTTCAGTTCTGGAGTTCAGGTGGCTGATGCAGCTGTGTGGGAACATCTGGCTCTTCCATGGCCTGCAGAGGAAGCTCTGCCATTCCCTGTGGGAGTGACTGTTCCACTCAATTAGTGTTTCTCATTGTACTCCTGGCTGTTCACAGGTTTATTCCCTACCCTGCTGTTTGGGGAGTTGCATGGTGGTGCTGTCACTGAAAACCACATTGCAAGTAACTTCCACACAACCCATCCTGGCATCTCTTCCCATCCCATTTTATTTGTAGTGTAAAACAGAGCCCTGGGATGGAACCACAGGTTTTACTTTACATGTTCAGCAATGTGTCACTTGCAGCCAGAGCCCGATGTGTGCCACATGAGGGCTGGGAACCTGGTATGCATCAGGTTCCAGATTCTAAGCTTTAAACTTACATCATGTGTCTTTATTGGACAAGAAATACAGAGTGCAGTCTGTAAAATTCCATTGGTGTGGAATTCTTTTGCCAGCCATTTGGAACTAATAATGAAAGCACATCATTTATCTTGTTCTGGATCATTACAACCTGAAAAAGCCATTTTTCCATGTGAGATTTATAAAATGCAGCCAACAGCTAAGTTGCTTTTTTAACACTTCTGATAACACATGCTTGGTAATTGCATCAGTGGCCCACTTTTAAATTTCAGCGAGACTTAGACAGGAGGAAAAACCAACAAAACCCAGATAACAGCAGTTTTAAGAGCTGTTAAATGTTCTTCCGTGCTCTGTGATCTTCATTTGTGATACCCTGGAACAGAGGAGTGGGAGCACCAGCCTTCAAAAAGTGGAATTTGTATATGGAGGGAAGTAAATATTTTTTCTTTTACATGGAAAAAGTCTCAATGACCATTCTCAATGATTCTAAACCTCTTAACAGCATAAACAACAAGGTAACAGAGCAATGTCATCAGCAGCAGCAATGCTTCTCTGAAATTTCCCTAGAAAACCAAAATTCAGCTCAGTTACAGATACACTGAGCTTAGACAGAGGAAGAAATACAGGATAACATAAATATTTGTGATTGAGAAGAGATCCTGTTTGGATGTCTCCTTTTTAATGGCTGAAGTAGGTAATTGGTAGGTAGGGACCCAATTTACCCTTTTACATTTATGCTTTGATGACTTAGGATATTTTCAACAGAATTTTTGTGTACCAAAATTCTGATTTTTTAAATTTTTTTAAATCAAGTGAATTGTGGCACTGTTTTGTGATTTTACGTAGCAAATCTGCTGAATATTCTTACATCTGAACTTGGGTTTTGTCTACATGCATTATCTGCTTATGAAGAGAAAATTTCCAGTTCCAGAGAGTTTTGTACATTTGCTCAGTTGCTCATCTTTGCTAATCTGGGAAGATACATTGAGAACCTTTGCTTCTGGGGACTTCTTTTAAGAGAACAGACTCTTGTAACCCTTGGTTACAGGAATCAGCAAGAATTATTATTTTTATGTATTCACTTAAGCCAAAAAATGTGCTTTCCTGTGTAATGCAGCTGCTCACTTACCTATATAATCCTTAATTTGTGTCAGCATGACCAGGTAAGAATTCAACCTCCTGCCAGGAGGTTTGAGGTTGGTTGGTTTTGGTTACTAACAGGAACATTCCTTTCCATGCAGTAAATGTTAAACTAGTTAGTTACAGCTAAGTACAGTGATGTAATCAATTCTTGTTGCAACTCCATGAATTTCACCAAAACTGTCTTAGTAACTTTTTTTCCTCCCTGTTTGCTGTGGTGATGGTTTCATGAGTTTGTTTGGACATCTGTGTTTATATTACACACATGTAAATTCAATTCCAGCACAAAGAAAGGATGTTTGCTCTTCCCTCTGAATGGTGAACTTAAAATTGTTTCCTCAAAAATTCTCTCTTCTAGAGAACAGTGTGTGTATGAGTATCTGTGCCTGTTTTTAGTAACATGGGCTTTAAAAGTGTTTCACTGAGTTTAGAGTATTTCTTAGCAGTAAATTCTTACCACCTAGAATTAAAAAAAAACCTACCTGAAGCTCACAGCTGCAAAACTAACCCTATATTAAGTGCTCAGGAAGGTGTCATACCTGTTATCTCTGTGTTCTGGATTATATTAAAATCTTAAAAAATCCTGAACCATGAGAAATCTTTCTCTCCACTACTTCAGAGCTTGTTGTAGGTGTCACCTACTGAAGATGAATTCAGCTTAAGGCAAGATAGGATTTTACTGCTGTGTTTGAGCAGAGGATGGATTTAGAGGACACCTTCTTTTTCTTCAAGCCCGTTGGAAAACTGCATCTTTTTCCTGCAGTAATGTTATCTTTCAGTCAGGTGTTGCTAGTGTCAAATGATTATCCAACTGCTTTATTATTAGAAAATATTAATTAGCTTTGCTGATGAAGAAGGAATGGGGACAGCGGTGTCTATTGCATGAGTTGCTTGTCTTCTCTGATCTTTATGGATGGATTCCTCTCCGTTTTAGAGGATATGGGTTATGTAACACATATTTATTAGGCCTAAAACCCCTCTAATAGTGACGTGATGATGAAGTTTTGCTCAGCTCGTTTTCCTCTGACTTCTTTCTGCGGTGTCCAGACAACACAACTTATTCCTGAGCACTGAAACAATCACAGAATCCCAGGCTAGTTTGGGTTGGAAGAGACCTTAAAACTCATCCAGTCCCACCCCCTTCCATGGGCAGGGACACCTCCCACTATCCTAGGTTTCTCCAAGCCCTGTCCAACCTGGCCTTGGACACTTCCAGGGATGGGGCAGCCACAGCTTCTCTGGGCAACCTGTGCCAGGGCCTCCCCACCCTCACAGGGAAGAATTCCTTCCAATATCCCATCTAATCCTGCCCTCTGACAGTTGGAAGCCATTCCCCTTTGTCCTGTCACTCCAGGCCCTTGTAAACAGTCTCCATGTTCCTTAGCCACTTTAGGCACTGTAAGGTCACCCCAAAGCTTCTGTTCTCCAGGCTGAACACTCCCAACTCTCCCAGCCTTTCCTCACGACAGAGCTGCTCCATCCCTCTCATCATCTTGGTGCCTCCTCTGGACTCACTCCAGCAGCTCCATGTCCTTGCTGTGCTGGGCCCCCAGGGCTGGAGGCAGCTCTGCAGGTGGGGTTTCACCTGAGGGGGCAGGGGGGCAGAATCCCTCCCTGCCCTGCTGCCCCCGCTGTGGGATCAGCCCAGGGCATGGGGGGGTTCTGTGCTGGGCTGTGTCCAGCCTTTCCCCCACCAGCACCAAGGAAACCTTCCAGCTGGAAAACTCGTCTTTGTGGCTGTGGCTCCACAGGGCATGAGAGCTGGATTTGGTTGAATTTTGTTAAAAAAAAAAAAAAAAAGACCAAAATTCAACCAAACCTGTGCTCTTCTCTTCCCTGTTCCTGCCCCAGGATTCCAGGTGAGTTCACCCCAAAACCTCTCTTTCCTCTGTGGAGCTGCAGTTTGGGTGTGCACATGGTGAATTTCCCGATTTTGAAGATTTCCTTTGTTCCAAGTCCACAACTTTTTTAGCTCAAACCTTTTTCGGTTTTGGCTTTTCCCCTCCTTGTACCAGTCGCGACATCTAGTGGCGACATGACATCATGACAGCGCCCGACTTTGGGAAGCTGCTCTAGCTCCCTTTGAATCTTCCTCTTTGGAAGAAGGGTTGACAGTGACCATCCTGTTCCCCCCGCCAAGGAATTTTACTGGCAGCCCTTTTGCTACACAAATGTCAGCAAAGACCCTGAACCTGTTCTTAGATTGTTACTCCATTTTCATGGAAGTTATTGAATTTTCATATAAATTTCTATATAAATGAACACTAATTGAAGCAATTGAACCTTTTGGTTAATACACAGATGAACTGTGATGGCAACAACGGAATTGTTCACTGACTTCAGTCACATATTTTGAGGCTTTACTGCACTGAAAAAAAACCCCAAAAATGGTTTTTATGTATTTTGTCTAAGTAAGAAGGCAGAAAGCCCAGCTCACGACACCCAACTGACTGCACAGCAGTAGCATGTTGAGAGTGCACTGAATGGGTGCCTTCAAATCGGGCAGCCTTGCCTAAAAACCCCCGTTAATTTGTGCTCAACACTGGGCGCAATTGTGTGGGCCAAGGCTGGATGTGTGATTCAATAATCCCTTCAGGACTCAAACCTAGCAAGTTCTGTCTCTGTTCACACCAGGGACCAGAACTGCTGCCACCTAGCACTCCCAGTGACCACTGTCGATGTGGGGAAGGCTCACATTTTTCACAATTATGCATTAAAATTCATGGAGTTTCTCCTCCCCATCAGCTTGCTCCAAGGGATGTTTTGATTCCTGATGAATTCAGTAGTCCCAGAGAAACATCAGGGTTTGGGGTGGGTTTTTTTGGCCAGATGTAGAAATAAATGTAAATTTGGTTTCTATGGGTAGAGTTTTATGACTGCCTCCAGCCCCCCTCAGTAAGAAGCACAGAAGTCATTCAGAACAAAGGATTTTTTATTGACCATCTTGTCAAGACATGGGTTTATGATCTTGGTCTCTCCTTCTTGCCCTTGTACAACGCCAGCAGGGACACATTGGCCACCTTGACCACCTTGAAGCGGACCCCTGGGATGTCCCCAACGGCATGGCCCTTGCGCCCGAACCCAGCCACCAGCACCTCATCGTTCTCCTGCAAAAACCAAAACCGGGGCATGGGGAGCACAAATATCAGATCCATGCACAAATCTGGGATTAACCACCCTCAATTTGGGCTATGCTCCACACTGCCCTTGCCTAACCACCCCAGATCAAACTTGCACACATGAAATGAGAATTAGCAGAGTCTTTTTATTTTCCACTGCAAAATACAACTTCTAAATTAATTACCTCAATGAAGTTCAGGCAGCCATCATTGGGGACAAAGGCTGTGATTTTTTTGCCGTTCTTAATCAGCTGGACCCTGACACATTTCCTGATGGCAGAGTTGGGCTGCTTGGCTTCTACTCCACTGCAATGGAAATAAGTCAGAAAAACCCCATGTTTGATGGACCAGAAGGTTTGTTACACACCCACAAGTTACTGTTTTCCTTTGTGTTCAGTGTAAGCTGATTCTGTAACTTCAGAAACTCTGAGCTGGTTAGAGCCACTCAATATATGAATATAGAATATTTAATGACTATATAAAAATTCCATGTATCATTATATAATGTATTATCTATAATAAATATATTTAACATATATCAATATATAGACCACCACTTCCTATGCAGAGTAAAATTTTAATCACCTACAGACTAATACTAATTCAGTAAAATCCTGAAAAAGCATAAAAGAGGGGAAAACCTCCCAAAAACTAGAAAACACTGGTCAAAAAAGAGAGCACTTGCAGCATCCCCATGAGGCTTCAAATTATTAAAGGCAAAAAAATCTCCCAAAAGTAGGTAGGATCTTTGACACAAGACATGCAGTTTTTCTTAATGTTGTGCCAAACCCCTGATTTTTCTCAATTTATGAAAAAAGGTGCTTTTTCTTTAAGCTTTGACTAAGTTACCCATTTCCCCCCACTTCTGGGAAAATTCTAATTTTTTTCTCCAATTCTTTCCAATAAAAACATATTTTCCCCTTAATTTTTGCTTAATATCCCTATTTTTTACCAATTTTTGAAAGAAATTCCCGTTTTTTCCTCTAAACTTAAAATTAAACATAAATTAATTCTGGTTTTTCCCATCTCAGGACAGGAGCTGCATCCAGGGGGTTCTAGAGCCCCATCCCAGGGGTCTCAGCGCCCAATTCCAGGATGCTGGACCCTTATCCCAGAGACTCTGTACCCCCATCCTAGGGGCTGTGGACCCCGAGCCCGTTTGTGCACCCACACTTTCTCGAGGACGATGCCCTTAGCGTGGGAGGCGCCGCCGAAGGGGTTGGCCTTCAATGCCGTGCCCAGGTGCGCCTTCTTGTACTGCTTGTCGTGCCACTTCTGGTCGCGGCGATGGCTGCGCAGCTTCCGAGCCGTGCGGAGGCCTCGGCACTTCCCTGCAGGAGGTGAGGAGAAGGGAGGATGGTGAGGAGAAGGAGGGTGAGGCGGGCCAGGCCGTGTGACGCAGTGGCGGACATGCGGCGGGTAATGGCGGCCGCGGCCCCACCGCCCTCAGCGCTGTCCGCACAGCACCCACTCGGCTGCGGGCGGGCGGGGAGCGCAGAGCCCCGCAGACCCTCCCTGGGATCCCGCAGCCCCAAACCCAGCCCCAAGCCCGCCCGCAGCCTCGGCCTCGCTCCCCGCGCTCACCCATCCTCTCTCTGCAGCTGCCGAGCGAGAAAAGAGGGAGGAGGGTCCGCGACCGCCGCCTATAGCCGCGCCCGCTAGGACCTGCCGCGGGCTGCCCGCGCCGCGCCTGACGGAAACACGCCGACCGGCACCGTGGCGGGCGGCCTGGCCGGAGGTGGAGGCCGCGGGTTCTAGACCCAATCGGGCGGACGGGCACGATTTGCCCCTCCCTCCCCGCGGCGTTCGAGTCCCGTTTTGACTTAGAACCGGGAGAGAAAATTTTGAGACCAGTCTGAGCTTAAAAAAAAAAATCATTACTTTATCCTCGGGGGCACCTCCCTGCTTGTCATCCACACCGAGATGCACTTCTGCAGCTTATGTATAATTTGTTCCATGAATATGTGTTTACAGTCTCAGGAGTTCGCGCCTGTTCCAAAAGGCCTTATCCATATGCTGATTAATTAATTGCATGGGGCTTATCGCACATGTTCGGGATGGGGTCTCTAGTGGTCGTTTGGGATGGTACCACAGCTTGTTTTGTCCTTACTTGCTCACAAGGACGAGTCGAGGTTGGGCCTGGTTTTATCTTGTTAGCTGTACCAGGGGAACCAGTGTCCGACCCACAGAGAGGGACTGCTGATAATTGATCTCTGCCTGAAAAGACCACCATGATGTGGGAGTCAGAGTCTCCTTGCAGGTAAAAAGCAACAGGACAAGGGGAAATGTCCTCAAGTTGCACCAGGGGAGGTTTAGGTGGGATATTGGGTTGTCTATCCCTAGCACAGCTGCCCAGAGCAGGGGGAGAGTCCCTATCCCTGGAGGGACTTAAAAGCCTTGTGGACGTGGCACTTGGGGACGTGGGTTAGTGGTCGCCTTGGCAGTGCTGGGGAATGGTAGGAGTCAATGGTCTGAGAGCGCTTTTCCAGCCTAAATGACTCTATGATTATGATTTCCAGCTTTTCATAGATTCCCAGAATGGTCTGGGTTGGAAGGACCTCAGACCTATCAGTCCCACCCTCTGCCATGGGCAGGGACACTTTTCACTATCCCAGGTTGCTCCAAGCCCCATCCAACCTGGCCTTGGACACTTCCAGGGATGGGGCATCCCAGCTTAAAATGCTGCATTGCCTGTGAGTCCTCCGGTGGATCTGCACCAAAGTGAAGTCCTATAACATAAACCAGCTCATATTTACTGATTTTGAAAGTTGCTGGTAGTCCATGCTGCCAAACTGCACTAATCTGAGTCCTGAACATTCCTTCCCCTTTTTGGAATTACTGTGAAGGGACAGCAATTAGACCTTAATACATCTTTATTAAGACATCCTGTGCTCACAGCTTAAATAGAAAATACATATTTTGTGTGTTCAGGTAGGACTGGTTTTACATGCAATCTGTATAGAATAACTAATTTAAAAAAATGAAAACCACCCCCCAACACACACTCCCCTCAAAGAAAAAAAGAAACCAACCAACCCCAAACAAAAACTGTAAAGCCCACCAACAATTTTAGGAGAAAACATTACTATTATAAAGAGCAGCTCTTGAAGATGCAGTTCCAATGTCGGAATGCTGTTGCTGTTTGGTGATTTTAAAAACAAGGAAGTTTATATTGTAAAAATGCTGCAGCTTTGCTTTTCAGTGTTAGGAATATTAGGAATACTTAAAAGCTGACTGGAAGGAAGGAAAATGATGTATTTTAAACTTTATGAGGACTTTGGGGCACTTTTAAGACACCTTTTCTTCATTCCACCATGTTCTGGTTTAACCCCAGATGGTAATTAAACACCACACAGCCTCTTGCTCACTGCCCTGCCCATCCTGGTGGGATGGGGAATGAATTTGGACAAAAAAGACCTGTGGGTTGAGATAAGAGCAGTTTAATAATGGAAATAAAGTTGTTGTGGTTCTTAATAACAACAACAACAACAACAGTAATAACTATTAATAATACTAACACTAATATAATAATAACAATAACAATAATAGTTAAACACAATGGCTGAGATGTGCTGGCACAGGTGGCCACAAGACATGTCCCTGGAAGGTGTCCCTGCCCATGGCAGGGGGTTGAAACGAGGTTATCTGTGGGCAGCTGTATGGAAAAGGGCTGTTTGCTCTGGAGAACACCAGCACTGCTGGATAAGCACTTCTAAAATTAAATGTTTCAGTTGGCCAAGCAGATAAATCCACCAAAAATCCCACCACTTATCTTAAAACTCTCAGTATAATCTGATCTTCCCTGTGGGATCTGATACCTGGTGTCCTGTGGTACTGCATGACGAAAGACAGCTGAGTCCTGAACAGACTGAGCTTTTAGTTTGTGGTTTTTTGTTTGTTTGTTTGTTTTTGTTTTTGTTTTTGGTTTTTTTTGTGCAGTTTTCCCCCTGTGCCTTCCTTGAAGGTGAAGTTAAGCCTGGAGTCTGTATGGAGGTTTCTCAGACTAGGATGGAATCCTTTGGGGATATTGTGAAGGGCACAGGGAATAGAAGAGAATTAGAATCTCAGAATGATTTGGGTTGGAAGGGACCTTAAAGCCATGGGCAGGGACACCTTCCATTATCACGGGTTGCTCCAAGCCCCATCCAACCTGGGCTTGGACACTTCCAGGGATGGGGCATCCCAGCTTCTCTGAGCAACCTTTGCCAGGGCCTCCCCACCCTCACAGGGAAGCAGGAAAGAATTTTAACAGGATTAATTTCTGCATCCCACCCAAGAAGAAAGCTGAAAGGCTTTTTGGCCCAATCAGTTGCCCAGAGAGAGGATTTTGTTCGAGCTGAGAAAAGCTTTATGTTTTAAGGTGAATTTTCTGACCACGGTTCTGTTGCACTGTCAATGCTCTGTGAATACGTCTGAATCAGAGGAACAACAATGACTCAGACTGAAAAGGTGAGTGATACATTCAGTGCTGACACTTGTAAGGTGTCTGATAACTCACATGTTGCTTGAGACATGTTAATATAGAAAGCTGCTCAGCTCATGGTGGCCTGACATGTGAGCTGAAAGTGACTACAAACCACTGGAAAAGAGTTTGTGTGCCCGAAGAGCCAATGCTCACAGCCTTCACCAAGCTGTGAGCCTCCATGCTGAATATAATCACTTTGAAGTGAGTATAATTATCTTTTCTGAGAGGTAGATCCCAAAAAAAGGAGCAGTGTTTAAAGTACAGTAAGATCTTTACAGTGTTTAAAGTACAGTGGCTCCTTCTTGCTGGAGGAAATGTCTGAGCTGCCTCAGTGCTAAATGAACAACAAAGAAATGATACCTTGCTGCCTAATCATCAAAGGAGGAGTTTTGCATGAGGAGTAATCAGAAGCAAAATATCCTTGCAAAGTGAGGGGGAAAAAAAGGTGACAAACAGCAGTTTAATCCTCTTATGTGGAATACTGGCCCCTTTTAGCCTGCCATAGCCTGCCATTGTAGGCTGTAAACTTAACTGTGGTGACAGGACAAGAGGAAACGGCCTCAAGCTGTGCCAAGGGAAGGTCAGGAGGAATTTTGTCCTGGAAAGATGGTCAGGCATTGGAAGGGGCTGCTCAGGGAGTTGGGGGAGTCGCCATCCCTGAAGGTGTCCAAGGATGTGGCACTCAGTGTTCTGGGCTGGGTGACAAGGTGGTGAGCATCTTTAAGAACTGTATCAAATGTTTAATATTATTGTTGCTATTATTATTATTGGCAAGTGTCAAGAGGCAAGAAAAGACTTTTCTTTCCTTCTACCATTATTTCAGAAGATTGCTGGTGAATGATTTAGTATCAGCACCCATTGTATTAATGTATTCAACCTGCATCTCAGGAAGTCTTCTCCATGTCACCATTGGCGAATCAGAGATCAAATCAGTCCAGCAGTTTAATTACCTAGGCAGCCTCATCTCCTCGGATGGTAAGATTGATGGAGAGATAGACAACAGGTTAGAAAAGGCATAGAGAGCTTTTGGAAAGTTCCGTATAAGAGTTTGGCGAAATAAACACCTGAAGAAAAGTACAAAGATCAGTGTTTACAGAGCCATAGTGCTGTCTACTCTCTTATATGGGTCTGAATCATGGGTCATCTACCACCACCACCTGCGACTCCTACAACGCTTCCATCAACGCTGTCTCCGTACAATCCTAAACATCCACTGGTCAGATTTTGTGACCAATACATCTGTTCTAGAACAAGCAGCAGTTACGAGTATTGAGGCCATGTTGCTGAGAACACAGCTGTGCTGGGCAGGGCACGTCTCCAGGATGAAGGACCACCGCCTCCCTAAGATCCTGCTTTATGGTGAACTTGTCACCGGCTGCCGCAAGAGAAGAACCCCAAAGAAAAGATACAAGGACTCCCTGAAACAACATCTCAGCCTTGGCAACATTGATCTTCATTGCTGGTCTCTTCTGGCCTCCAATCCGGAGGTCTGGAGGCACACTATCCATAATGCTGCTGATGCCTTTGAGAACGCACGCAAGATCATTCTCAAGGAGAAAAGACAACACAGAAAGAATCGTGTCTTGCCGATACCACCTAAGGAGTCTTTCTGCTGTACCTTTTGCAACCGAACTTGTCTATCTCGTATTGGCCTTTTTAGCCACCAGCGTGCTTGTAGCAAATGTGGGTAGAGTCCTTCCCAAATCTTTGTTCGCGAAGCCTAGCCATGATAATGATGATTAATGTTTACTGAGGAAATCAGTATATTTTCCACTGATTTATTCTGGTTTAACCTGTGTTAGCAGTTTGGTGTTACTTGTTTTCTTGATTGTCTGCAAATCCCTCCTTTGGTTCTGAGCAAACTGACATTATTTTTCATTTTGTTGATGGCGAGTGCCTTTTCCCCCCACTTATTTAGGAGTGGGGAGTACTGAGGCATTGAACAGGACTGTGACATCAATGACTTCACAGTTTTTAGGAGTGTGTGACACTTCTGCCTCTTGAAATTTTCCTCTGAGCCCTGTCTCCTTACTGGAGTAACTGTTCAAAGTTTAGCATCATACATTCATGGTACTTCACAGAAAATCTGGAGGTTATTTTCAGGTGGTTCTTGCTTAATCCCGCATTCCCTCATCCCATTTTTCAATCTAGGATTCTCACATAAGTATCTTTATTCCTTCTTAAATTGGATAGAAGCAGTACTGCTGAGGACAAGCTGCTGGGAGGTTTTTAAGATTAGCGGATATACCCTCTGTATCCCAGAGGGAGAAATGAATTAAGATGGCAAATCCTTCCTAATAGCTATGATGCTAAAGCCCCAATCTTTTTCTGATATCTAGAATGCAACAGACAGGAACTCCTAGTTAGCAAAGTGAGGCTTCAGTGGTGATCACATCAGCAAGTAGCAAGGAAGAAGTAGATGTCTGGGTATATAAATACCTATAGATTGGTATATGACTGTGTCCTGCCTGATATTTAAGGGTTTTGGAATGAGGTGATCTTTAAGGTTCCTCACAACCCAAACCATTTTGTGGTTCTGAGTATAAAAACAATTGAGCCAGAAAGCTAAACACACACACAAACTGAAATAGTGCTGAAGAAAAGAAAATTGCTTCCAAATGTTTGACTTCAAAGCTTGCAATATATGCCTTCACATCTGTATGGTTACTAATATAAGGTATTGTAAGTCTTGAAAATACATGTAGTTCTTCCTCTGATTATCATATAGAAGAAGTTTCAGAGCTGTTTGTAGGCAGCACCTTACCCTTTCTCTGAGGCGTGGGTTAAGTACAGATGAGGAATGCTCTGCAGTGTGATTTCAGAGCCCATCTGATTGTATTCTTTTTTTTAACAAGCAGCTCAGTCCCGGCGCACTTTCCCCGGGTTGTGTGCTCATTCATTCACAGGGCAGCTGGAACGTGCCAGGTGTTTGCCTTGGGGAGAAATCCCAGCACACGGAGGATTTCTCCGGTGGTGGATCCTCCCCCATCACGCGGCAGAGCTGGACCAAAGCCGCAGATGTGCTGCGTGTGGAGCCACTACCTCCCTTCCCAATGGAACGAAACGCTGCCCTGAGGTTCTTGCTGCTGTTCCTGTGTGTGGGATCCGGGGTGTCCGTGGAGCAAACGACTGTGACGTCAGGAAACAGGTCAGTGACTGGGTGTGTGGTGACAAACTTGAGCGAGCCCAGATTTTAAATGCTGTCATTTGTGCTCTATGGGAGTAGATTCAGTCGCAGTTTGGAGTGTCAGGACGTGGTTGTAATTTCCTTTCAGGTTTAAAGGCACCTAGGGGTAATACAGAAATTAATTATTTTGAAACACACGGTGAATTAAATATGTAACTTTAAAGCAATTTTATAAACGTGGCTTTAAAATGAGTGGTTTCTGTGCATCTGTCTTACATTTCATTACATTTTAATGACTCTCATACTGACTTTCCCTGGTCTGTGTGAAAATGAAGTTATAAATAGAATAACAGCAAGGGTGTGAAAACTAAGGTGCTAAAATATTCTAGTGGTGTAGAATGGATATTTGAAGCGTGAATTCAATATTGCAAAGGAACTTACAGAATTACTGGAGATTTGCGTTTATTGTCAATAGTGATGTTTCACTCTCTAATGAAATACAAATAATAAGCCCAAATCATAGCAGGGGAAAGAGGGGACTTCATAGAGCCAAGTATTATGAAAGTGAAAACAACCTGAGCTGTATGAGTTGAATCATGCCCGGAGTCACCAGTAACACACAGAACAAATATGCTGATGGAGGTTGCAGCTGGCAGTAAAATCTGTTCATTTAAGGCAAGAAGGACATGTGGTAATTTGCTTAAGCTTGTATTAAGAGATCTGGTAGTCAGTTACCGATAAATACTACAATATGTTTTCATCTAAATAGCTCACTTGCCGTTCTCCTCTGCCAGTTTTCAGCTCCCTCACTGTTCCTCTTAGCATAATTCTGCATTCTTTTTTTTGCAACCAGACCAGAATCTGAGAGAGAGCATTTTTTTACAATGAACTTTTTTACAATAAGTATTAGCAGAAGAAGTTGTGACCTGGATCCCAGTGAATTAAATGGGGATTTTGCCTCACTGGAGGTGGGATTGTGCATGCACAGTGTTAATTTGCTAGGTTCTATGACCTCAGAGGTTTGGGGTTTTTTGTATTAAAAAAGAAAGCTTAAGTATCTTGTTCTGATCCGGTCCTAGCTGGGCATCCATTAAACTGCAGATCAAACCCAGTAATCAGTGCATTGTAAAATAGTTATGTAAATCTGTCTCCCTGTGTCAAAACTCACATTAGAAGACTATAAGAGTTGTGTGGTTTTGTCGATATTTCTGGTTGATAGGACTTACCCAGAGGCATTTAAAACTCAGTAACATTTTTTTGCCAGGATTTTTCTTAGAGGAGACTAGCTCTTTCCCTGAACATGGTGTCCCAGGTTTACACATTTATAATGTCCATAACTTCCTTGAAATTCCCTATGGCAAGTGTCCCTTGCACAACCAGTGCATTGCCACCAGGTGCTTGTCACCTTTTGTCATGACTTTGTTTTTAGCGCATTTGAATGTTCATGTGTTATTTTCCAATTAAATGCCTCATAAATTAGCTGAAACTAGTTCAGCAGCCAGTAAGGAATTCTGCAGCTGGGCAATATTAGTATTAGAAAGATGACTCTGAAGTAATAGAAATACTGTTTCTTTAGAGGTGGAGTACATTTTCCCATCTGCTGCAGTTTATCAGAGCAGTAATATGAAGAGTAAAAGAGTGAATATGACGTGAAAACTTCCTGTGGCGTCCACACTCAACCAGTGTTGAGTGCCAGGATTACTCCTGTGGCTCATCTGAGCAGAGAAAACACTGTTTACATGGAAGTCCTCAAGAGCTGGAGTCTTTATAAACTTTTTTGGACAAACAAGCCAGACTTGGTTGTCTTATGTAGATGGATAATGTCATCTGATAAGAGGGAATTTACACTTCTTTATGCTTATAATCTTATTTAATTGGGTTTTACATAGTGATTAGTCATTCCAGTGCTTTGTATTAGGGCTAATCCAATTTCATGTGGGTTCCTAACATACTTGGTATGGTAAATTCAACATACAACCTACATGCCTAGGTGTTATCTGGGCCAGTTATTTACGAATTGCTAAGGAAAAATATTGGAATGTATACCCTGTGAGCAATTGAATTTGAAGTGTCACGGTAAGAGTGTCTGATTAAAAAAATGATAAATTTGAAAAGCTATTCTGTAATTCAGTGTGCTAAAAATGATTTGCTGTCAGTTTTGCAATGGAGAGTAAATGCTAGCTAGTTTCCTATCTCTTGTACATGTAATGAACATTTTATAATTAAAAGGGAATACGTATTTTTAAAAAATTTTTGCATTTTTTGCTTTCAATACTTCTGTTCTGTGAAACGTGCTCTAGCTGAGGATGAAAGGGCTTTGAGTGCCAGGGATCGCTTGTGAATTCCCCAGCTTGCCTTTTCCTTGGGAAAGCTGCTGATGTGACATCATGATGGACATGGGCAGCCACCCATCCCTGTCATGGATCACAAACCCATGACACCTCAGGGCTGTGGGTGTCAGAAGCAGCTGACAGATCCCATAACATCGACAGCAGCCTGGGCTTGCCCAGACACCAGGACGTGATCCTTGGCTCTGCCAGCCACAGACCGGCTGTGCCCCAGTGATGTGGAATGATGGATTTCCTTCCTCTAACAGAGCTCCATGCATTGTGCAGGAGGAAAGGACTGCAAATTAACAGAGTAATTAACAGGAGGACCAAGCCAGAGGTGCTTCCCTTGCAGCCTTATGGTGTCTGTCATGCTGTGGCACTTTGTGGTGGTTCCCGGGTCACTCTCTGTGCTGCATTTCCTCATGAAAACATGAATATTTCATCAGCTGTGCACATTCATCTGTGTCAGTATCTTTATGCTAAAAACAGAGACTTGATGTCTCTTCCTGTACTCAGCACTGGTGAGGCCACACCTCAAGTACTGTGTCCAGTTCTGGGCCCCTCATTTCAGGAAGGATATTGAGATGCTGGAGCAGGTCCAGAGGAGGGCAACTAGGCTGGTGAAGGGACTGGAGCACAAGTCCTATGAGGAGAGGCTGAGGGAGCTGGGGCTGTTCAGCCTGGAGAAGAGGAGGCTCAGGGGAGACCTCATCACTCTCTATGACTCCCTGAAAGGAGGTTGTAGCCAGGTGGGGGTTGGTCTCTTCTCCCAGGCTACTATCAGCAAGACAAGAGGGCATGGTCTCAAGTTGTGCCAGGGGAGGTTTAGGTTGGATATTAGAAAGAATTTCTTTCCAGAGAGGATGGTCAGACATTGGAATGGGCTGCCCAGGGAAGTGGTGGATTCTCCGCCCCTGGAAATTTTTAAAAAGAGACTGGATGTGGCACTTAGTGCCATGGTCTAGTAACCGCAGCGGTAGTGGATCAAGGGTTGGACTTGATGATCGCAGAGGTCCCTTCCAACCCAGCTGATTCTAAGATTCTATGATTCTATGATTCCAGAGTGGCTGTGGGATGTGGAGCAGCCAGGAGTTATTCAGATTTTTTTAATCACAACCCCCAAATTAACCCTTCCTCTTCCCAGAGCAGCATGAAAACCTTTTAAGTCCAGTTCAGGAATGAAATGAATTGCACAATTTTACACCAATCTTCTCCCACTCCAGTATTTTAGTTTGTGATTTCCAAACTGGAGGAATGAGCTATGGGAGTTCAACTATGCATATAGGGAGGAGTTAAAAGTATAACTAAGCATAACTAGATATACATAGGTACAATACAAGTAAATATAACTAAAGTTAGTATAACTAAATAATTTTCATTAGTTTCCCTTTGGCGTGCCTCGTTTTTGTAGCTCTTACCGTGCAAAAAATTCTCCCACATTTGCCTGTTCCAGCCCAAAGGCACGATCTGTCATGAAAAAAGACTAGAAAAGACAAAAAGGGATGCATCGAATTACAAAAATGTTCCTAATCATAAAACAACCCAAGAGAGAGTTTTATCTGAGCAAGAAAGCAAGGTTTGGTCCATTGTGGCCACATCTTTTGTTACCTGTGTGTCAAAATCTGGTATCTCCACCCATCTCTGAGAGCTGTTGTCATGAGCAGCTTCCAGCATCTTGAAGAACTGATTCCAGCACGAACCCTGGCACCGAAAGAGCACTGGGAGAAAGTGGGACCCACTCTGAAAGTTGAATGAATAAACCTGTAAATAAACCTGCCAGATTAATTTTAAACAGTGTCACCCACAGAGATGTTTTTTTAACATAAGATCTTTATAAGGTTCTTCCAGCTTGACAGAAAGCAGGGTGGGCTCTGTGCCATCCCATGTTGTTTGGACTCGTATTTATCTGCCATTAAGGAAGGTGTGCTGGAAATTAGGTTGGGATCACTCCTGCTAGTGGGTAACACAGATCCCCCTACCCAGAATCTGGCGGGGAGTGAATTCACCCAGCTGTCCAGAGACTCCCCAGGAATGCCAAGTCTTGACTTTGCAATTCCAATACTTTACAGTACAATTTGCTCACAAATACCGAAAACTGGTCTTATTCCTAGTCTTTTTATGCTGGTCTTGAGGTATATATTTTCAAGAATTTTGCTCCTGTGGTGGGTTGGAAAAGCAGCAGGAAACAACGCAAGGGAAGAAGATGGAAATGTATTTCCATGTTTAGTGGCTGTGGGGCAGGTCTGACCCCAGCAGCTGGAGATTTACACTAAGAAGAACATCAAATGTTGAAAATTTCATGAGCCTGGTAGTTGACATTTTAGATGTGCTTTGCCCACACCCTACCTTGCAGTTGACTCTGTGACATTTGGTATTGCTTGGAACCGTTCAGGAGCTGTCTTCAAATGGCTGTAATTCTGGGCTTGAGACATGTTAGCCCATTGCATATGATCTATCCTGAGGGAATTAAACGTGTTGCTTCTGACTCTCACTGTGGAACAAGGGTGGTGCAGGGTGCTTGTGTTCCTCTGCCTGTGGGCTGGAACTGATTCTGTCTCTAACCCGGAACTGGTGTCCCATGGAACAGGACAAGAGAAAACAGGACAAGAGAGAAGCCTTTTGTCAATGTGATAAGGGTATGGGAAAGCTTGTCAGGGCTAATCCACCCAAGGGATCTCTGAAAATTAGGCATTTTTAGCCTGGGCTCAGCAGCTTTGGATTAATTTGCCTTGTTCCTGTTATATTACCAAGCCAAGGACCTGCGTTACATTTTGAATGTTTTATGGAACATAGTAGTAATAGGTGTTGTCCCCAGTAAACTTGCTGCAGACTTTAAATCCAGATGCTGTAAAATAAGTATTTTTCTCCTCTCTTCTAGTTCACATGAATTCTCAGATCAAGATTCTCTGCAGAGAAATGGTAAGCCTTTCAGTGGGCTGAACTCCTAGATACTAGTTCTGTTAGTGTGGCTGTAAAAGATTTTTTTCCCAGATGTTGCTTCTGCTGGCCTTAGTGACTCTTCTGTCACGTGTGTTGTTAAAGCATATCCCCCGTTAAAAAAACACCCTTTAAAGGATTTGCCTGTTTTAAAATACTAATTTGCTGTCCAACTCAGATGCAGAGAGAATGGGGAAGACAGAAGCATTCACTCTTTTTAACCAAATGAAAACAGGATTAAATTTTTGAAGGATAGAGCTTTGAGAATGTTCATGAAATGACCTGTCCTTGTGAAACTTCACTCTCCTGGCAAGCAGTTGGGCCATCAGATTGTTTGTCACATCTTCCGATCTCTAGTGGTGCAGGGAAAGAACTTCCCACTCACAATTAAGACACTTTTGTTGTTCAATTCAGCACACACTCTTTGATGACAGAGTTTGCTGTATGAAGAAAACAAGCAGCTTTTGCTATGTTTGGGATGAATAAATGCAGATGTAGACTGAATCTTGTAATTTTGGGGCACTGGAGTTCCTTCCAGATGTTCAATGAAAAGAAGAGGAACCTTGTTGAATGAGTAAGGTAAACTAGAAAATACATGTAATGAAGGTAATATTTGGAACAAGTCAAGTATTTTCCAAGACAGAATCAGCTATTCTCACATACACATTTTGTGCAGGGATAATTATTGTTTGCATAAGAACGTGCAAAAATTATGCCTTTATAAATGACTGGGTGTTTATAGTATACTAATAATGCTGATAACACTCTTTCTTCTGCAGATCAACATTACGAAGGTGGCGTGAAGCCAAAATTGAATGTCAGTCAAGTGGCAATTGCGCAGGTAATGGATCTGTAGAGTCTTTTCATAGCACATTTAGATCTTTTAATTTACATTGCTGAATTTAACTCTTTTTACATTGTTTACAAGAAGCAGCCACCAAAACTGTCTAAATCATTGTGATATGGTACTGATTCACTGCCTGCTGTACAAGGTGTCCTCTGCTTTTCTGAGGAGTGAGATGAGACTTCAGATGCTGTTGCTGATGCTGACTGGTCATGGATTTGGGCACATGGTCTTTCTGAAAGAACCAAATCCTTATATCCATATCCCGTACAGTGACATTTGACTGCTGTGGCCAGTCTTGTGCTTATATCACTTGGTACTAAATGAACAGCTGTAGCAAAACTTCATATTTTTGGTGGGAGTTTTTCATGAGACCAGGCAATAGGTCTTGTCAAAAATTGACCATAAAAGGCTTCCTTACCAAAAGAAGCTCACCAAAAGTGATGCACTCTGCCGTAAGTAACATGTTGATTAAATCTCCCTCACCTGTACTTCTGAGAAGACAGCCTTATCATTTATATGAACACATAGTCACTTATCACATCTTCTGACCGTGATCTTACCTGGCTTTCAGCTTGTTGCTGTCAGTACTTACTAATTTTAATCCTAAAGCACCCTTGTGCCATGTGTAAGGTCCAATATCAAAAGGGATCTTTCAGGATCTGAGCTGAGAGACATGATTTTCTAATCTGAACAGCACCAAAAAAAAAAAAAAAACGAATCTCTCTTTAAGCCAAGACAAAGCTTTGGGGCTTAACTGTGTCTCTTCTGGAGCCTGGTAAGATGCTGTTTATGACTGGGACTCAGAAAACCTCTCTTGTTTTTGTACATGATTTGAACTTGCTAAATCATATGACATGGAAAAACCAGCCATGCAGACACTGTGTGTGTTACCTTATTCAGATAGGATGTGCATTACTGGGGCAAAGCTGGTGTCTGGAAATTTGAGTTTGAAATCTGGAAATGGCAGTTAAATTTTCAAGTTCTTTCAGAGCTCTAAGTCACTGTCTCAAATTATGTTGCCTGACAGCCAAATTGTCTTTTTGCAATGAAATTTTGGCTTAGAAGGGGTAGCATTTTTCTAGTGTTTCCAGATGACATGGAAGCTGCAGTCCCCGGGTTTTAACCCTCTAACTGATTTTGTAAAGGCAGGGATCCACACTTGAGCCATCCTGTTCTGCAGCAGGTATTTTCCTGATTTTAAAGCAATTGGGAGCCAAACTACCTGCACGCAGATGTAAACTTGGGCATTTCTTTCACCTGGACAGCTGCCTAATGTGCTTTCAGCATGGTAGGCTGTGTCCTTGGCCCAAACTGAGTCCTTTTCAGTGTGTTGAAGTACTTCTTACTGGTGTCCCAGGTAAACAACCTCATTTATTCTGGTAGGATGGAGAGCAAATCCTGAAATGCACACCTTCTGATAGCCATCTTTTGTGTGGTTCCTCAGGTTGTCAGCCACAACTTCAACAGGGAAGGGCAGTGGGAAGGAGCATTCTGGAGGCGGTTCTCCCACAGCCACCACAGCCCCCTCAATGTCACGATCAATGGCATCCCCTGCATCCTTTTCTGGGCCAAGAGGATCATGATCAGGCTTGAAAACCACACTCAGCTGGACTTGACAGAGAAGGCATTTGGTGTCCATGCCACAGTGGATGTTGGAGACTCAAACTGCAGTGAAGACAGTGCAATGTAAGGTGGAATTCTGCTACACCAGTGAAACTGGTGCCAGATTACAAGTCTAGGAAGGAAACTGAAGGAAAACTGACCTTGTAGAGCCCCGGGGCTCTTTCCTAAATGTCCTGCCATTGCAGCAGCAAGGGTTATATCCTTTAAAGCCAGCCTTTCGTGGGACACATGGGTGTACTCAGCTGTTGCAGTGGTATGGTCACTCCTTGGGGCCAGCCAGCTTTGCTCTTAGGGCCTGTGAGGCTCCAGCTGTTGATCTGCTTAGTTTCCAGCTGTTTTAGACAATTGCTTGGGAGGCTGAAGAGTGGGTTCTATGCTGAATATGGGGCCTTTGGGCTGTGCATGACTACTCACCCCTTTACAGGAGGTGTACCAACAGTACTGCACAGGATGCGGGTCTGTATTTAGTCCTATATGGCAATTCACCTGTACAGCTAAATATGTTTCCCTAGAAAGTATTAACTCTTTCTGATCACACAACTGCAAAGGATAACCCAAGGTGCACAGAAATTTTACTGAGAAATGCCTGAAAACTAAAAGTAAAATTGAAAAAGAAACAAGGACTTTTGTGTGTAGTATCATAATATTCAACGAAGGCAGTCTGAATATTATGTCATCAGCATGTGAACCAATGCAGCAGTTCCATCAACATGTGAACTATTCCATTAGTTCTCCCTACCCTCTGCCTGTCAAAACAGGCAGAGGTAGAGAATGGAATAAAGTTATTTTAGAAATAAAAAGTAATAACAAACATTCCATCCTCTCTTCTGGTCTACAATTTGGAAATAATCTTGCTCTGATTAGTAATTATTGCAATGTAATAGAATGCAAAATGAAGGGTTTCAAAACTCAAAGAATAGTTTTATAGTTTTTCTTAAGACCTGGAAAATCAGAAGGACAATGTTTTTTTGTGGTCTGCGAACTCCTTCTGGAGCTGAGATTTGGAGACTGTTAGACAAGCAGGTTACTCTGTCTCCCTGTCTGTCACGGGTACCTCTGTAGTCTTACTACTGTAGTGGCTTCATTTTGTAAATACAGATTTCTAAGAAATTAGGGCTTGCCCTGACTCTGTCTGGGAGGGAGATAATGTATGATTATGATTCTCTTGTGATTTAGGTCTGTGGTTGAAACAGTGTAGGTGACAGAGAAGAAAGGGAAAAGCTTGCTTGAATGTTGCTCTGTAATCTCAGTTTTAAGAATCAACCTAAATTAAGCCAGTTGGTGGCTCAGTCCTCACATGGTAGATTGCCCAGTTTTTCTCACATCAGAAAAAATCCCTCAGAATTCTCTCTTCTCTAGCTTTCATTGTTAAGACAACTCTCTGTATTGTCTTTCAAGCTGATTTATGCTGTGTAATCAGTGTAAAGTAGCTGGAGCCAGGAAAAAATATTAGACACCAAACACATATGTGTTTGCTATAGGAATATAATGATCCAACCTGCGTTTTTTTCTTAGTTGAATGCCATATTTGCCGGTGGCTAATCCTCAGCTATTATGATTTCCCTTTGCAATAAAGAAAGGGATAGTCTGGATTCAGTGTCCTGGCTTATTGGACCAGTGTTAGTCAAGGTGCAAGAAGTCTTGAAGTCTAGATCACCTATGAAATCATAGAGCTAGCTGTTTGTTTGGGGATTTTTTTTGTGTGTTTGTTTGGGGTTTTTATTTAGTTTTATTTTGTGTGAAGTTTTTTGTTTTGTTTGGTTTGGTTTTTTTAAAATATATTCTTCAGCTTTAATTTTGGAAGTCTTTCAGATGCTGCATGTTTCTGCTGTGTTTTGTTTTTGTCTTATGTGAACAATGAGAATCTCTGTACAGGTTTTAAGAGGCAAAATATTAGTGTTGAGTGATGAAACAATATATTCCACTTAGTTATGTATTGCTACAGTGCATTAATTAAGCTGATAGATTAATTTAGTAAATTTCAGGTGCCCATGCTCACTGCAGGTCACCTTTATAGAGCTACCTCACAGTCAGGGTATTTATGGGGCTCTAATGATGTGCATATGTGGACTTTGGACTCCAGTGACATCTGTGTTTTTTATGCTCTGGTATTTAAAAAGATGAGAATAATGTGTGTGTTTACACTTTCTGATGACATACAGAGGTGATAGCTGACTGAGACGACATGGCTTGAGAAGGAGAACAGAGATCGACTGAACTAATTACCAACTGATGTGGAAAGCAGTGGGATTTAATTGTGCTGGAAGTTAAACACGCATTTATACTCTTTCTGGACAGTTTGGACCTCGTTCCAAACTGCAGGTGAACTAGTAGATTTCAATGGAGGAAAATTTAATCCTTCCAGGTTTTTTTCCCCGCTGACTTTAAGGATATACTGAGCAAAAGGCTCCAGGTATAATTGAGTTTAATCTTTTGTGCTGCTTTTCTCTCTGAAGACTTCTGAATTTTTTTCCTAGCCTGATGTAACTTGCTTTTTGACCTAGGCTTTCTCTGAAGTTTGGGGACATTGGCAATCTAAAGGGACTAGTTATCAGGTAAGTTTATATGGCAAAAACCCCAACCAGATAATAAAAAGCAGGCTAATATACATTGTTATGCAGTTGCTTGTGGAATTAAAGTTAATTTGTTTAAGCAAAAATAATGCGATAGAAATTGTTGATTGTATAATTGTCACACCTGCACTCAGTGTGTCTGTCATTTGCCTGCCTTGTTCTAAGTCATTTTTTCTCCTTTGTTGGCTTTTCTATTAATGAGAAAAGTTTGCGTCATCTCTTTTGTATAGAATCTTCCTGTGTCTGAGATTTTAGCTAAACTTTGGTGATTTACTACATTTTTCTTGGGAATTTTATGTCAAGAACTGATAGTGTGGGCTGTTCAGACATCAGATTGTGACCTGGTTTATGTTTACTTCTTGGTGACAGAAAAAACAGCATTTCTTGTTAATTAACTTCCCATATCTTGGATGGAAGTACAATACCAGTGTGGTAGTTTATTTTGGCTGAATGCCAGATGTCCACCGAGGCTGCGCAGGTCTCCCTCCATCCAGAGGGAAAAGGGGAGATGAAAAAAACCGTAAAAACCCGGGATTTACCAAGAAAGGTAGTTTTATATTTACACAGAAAAAAGGAAAAAAACCCTAATAACACTACAAAAACATAGACAAAGGAAATTAACAGTAAAATTCTACTTCCTGCCATAAGCAAAGTGCTCTTTCTCTCTCCTCCAAGGAGCAGCCATCCTGCCGGATAGCTATCACGGAAGAGAGTGAGCTACTTCCTTCCTCCCCTTTTTATATCTGAGCTGATGTAACATGGTATGGAATATCTTCCAAGTCAATATGAATCAGGTGACTTATCCTATGTTTCCTCCCAGAAAAAGGAAACAAACCTACTACAACCAGTGTTGGATATATTTTGCTCAGCCATTTATTAAAAATCCCTCAAAATCCTCTTACTGTGTGGGAGAACAAGTAACAAGGAGCAAACTCCTTCAGTTGCAATAATGAACAACCTCAAACCACAGAATTTTTAGCATTGGAAGGGACCTCTGGAGATGACCCGGTCCAACTCCCTGCCCTGGCAGGGTCACCTGGAGCAGGTGACACGGTAACATGGCCAGGTGGGTCTGGGATGTCTCCAGAGAGAGAGACTCCACACCCTCCCTGGGCAGCTGTTACAGGGCTCTGCCACCTCCATGGAAAGCTCTTCCTCGCTTTCCAGACTCAGTGGAGGGATCCAGAGCTCACACAGATATAAACTGGTGATGCCAGTTGAGTCTCCTAAGGTTGTTCAGTGTGCAAATTCAACAGGTGGAACCCTTTGACTTGTTTTCCTATTCACCTCTCTTCCCACACAATGTTTCCAGGTTCTTGCTGACCACCAGCTACTACCAGCTATCTGTTCAGAACTGGTTCAGCCTGCACAGGCTGCAGCTGCTCTACAACCACTCGGTGCAGGCGACGTTCAATGCGACCCGAATCCATGCGCCGGCGACTTACTCCTACCACTGCGACCATGTGAGCAGCCTGCAGAGATACGATGCTCTCCTCATTCCCAGCTCTGCAAATGACCTCTCACAGCTCTGGGAAGTCACTTTTATTGATTTCCAGGTAACGTCATGGAATTAGGCCCAAGGGATCCTGTAGGTAGATTGATGGGGAAGTTTTGGCCATTTGCTGACACGGAAATATAATGACCTTCTATGTACAGTCTATGGGATTTCCATGGAACACAAAATTGAAATGAGGACTTAAATTATTCTCTTTATCTCCCTAGCAAAGGAAATTAAGGGCTGTATAGATTTTCTGTAGTCTTCTGCTTGTGTTCCCTTTAGTGTGGGGGGTGAATTTAACTTCCAGTGTTCCATCTTTCGGAGCAGAGCTGTTAAACGTGGCATCAGTAACAGCATCAGACACCAGGTACAGAATTCATCTCACTTAACTTTTGATGCCTACGAATTTTAACCCTGTGGCCTGATTATAGTCACCCCAGCCTGCCTCTAAAGCTAGTGGATAATTCCTCTGACTCGTCTTAAGTCCTTATTTTAGGATGAGATTAATAATCTTCTAAAAGTGCCGAGTTTTCTGTGTTTGGCAATGAGGGAGCCTCAGATGGCTGGACTAGAACATCTTGCTTTTACATACCTAAGTCATAGGGCATGAAGAGCTGAAAAAGGGAATTGAGGAGGAAAGCTGGTCCCCTTTTCTCACCATGTGATAAATGCCCATGGGCTGATTTAGTGGACCAGGCACAATTCCCTGAATGCCAGTGTCGTAAACTTCATATTAGAGCTGAAGCCACAAGTAAAAATTGTTGGTGTTTTCCATAGTTGGATGCAGCTTCCTGTAGTGTAGTTGGTTTGCTACCAAATACCGCACACATGGATCTGGTGAGGAAAACCTAATTCTAGGGTAGGCATTTCAAAATATTTCCTGGTTTGTTGCATTGAAGTTTATGCCGTTTGAAACAGAGACTCTGAGGACCCTCAACAAGTGATGCTGGAGGTGCACCATTAAGGTGAAAGGCATCAATTAAATATTGTGGGCCATCAAGAGAAGATTTTGTTTCAAACACAACTACAGATCCTTTGGGCAGCAGAGCAGAGGGGATTAGAATAGCTAGTGGTTTCTAGAAGACTGACCTGGAAAAACTCTGAGCATTAACTCCAGCCAGCACGGGGAGGTACAAATTTGCAATGTGCAGGTATTAAATTAGAAATTCTTACTGCCATCAGGAACACAAGCACCTCATTTAACACGAGCTCTCTTGTTCTCCTCATAGATCCAAGGTTTTAACATCCAGGAAGGACATTTTGCCTATGCAAAGGACTGTGCATCCTTCTTCTCTCCAGCAATACTGATGGGACTGGTGATGTCCCTGATCCTGCTGCTGGTCCTTGCCTATGCCCTTCACATGCTGATCCACCTCAAATCCCTTGACAGGCATCATGAGTGCAAAGCTTCTCCTGCCTATTTTGCACAGATGAAAGACAACGACATGGGAGATGAGAAGGAGCCACTGAGAAACAGTGGGAATGAGTCCTATGAACTTAGAAACAAGCAGTTTGGTAAAATCTATATTTAGCAATGTGCATCTAAGTGAAACAAGAGGTATTTTCTTCTGCTGGCACTGTTGTGTGTAGTTGGCGCAGGTCTTTCACCAGCTGATGAAAGGAAAAGTAGGTAACAGACTGTTTAACTGGTTATTTATTGATCATCATCTTAAAGACGCCTTGGGAAACAAGCTGAGATAAAAAAAATTCCATTGTGAATAAGAGATTCATGTTATGGGACTTTATTCCTGTAGCAAAAAGCCAAAATGCATAGCTTTTCATCCTGCTTACAAGGTCTCGAAGAGAGAATCAGTAATGAAGACTGAAATCAAATAAAGATACTAAATATATATGTATCTATATATAGATAGATAGATATAGATGTAAATCTCTTAGCTTGTTCTTTCAGAAGGCGAGATATTTCCTTATTTTGTATTTCCTCTGTGTCTTGACAAAATATCATAAATTTCTTTCTCAGGATGTGCTTTCCTTTTATTTTCCAAATGACATCCCTTCCTCTTAGTCGTCATAAACTCCTTTTCCTTCAGAGCCACTTAAGCTGTGTTTTTATCCGCAGTGATGGCTCCAGAACAGCAGCATCCTGATACTTCCCTGTGTCTGAGCTGGAGGCTTACTCTGAGGATCCAGTGGGAGAGCACCAGACATCTGGTCAAAGGCTTACCCTTAACTTCCTGGCTCAACTGCACGCCAGAAGAGGGATTATGAGCATTATACCCTGTAATTCAAGGTTAATTTCTTTCCTATGAAATCCCATCAGTCTCCCTTGTGAATTTTACCTGAATGGGGGTAACCAGTGCTATAATTCAAAATCTATATAAGCAAAGCGGAGGAAGCTCCTTAGCAGTGAAAAGGTACTGTGATATGATTTTCAGTGCTCTGTCTGAGCATTTAGGACACGGTGGTCCTCAAACTTGTCCTTTCTTCCATTAGAGGCAAAGTTTGGGAACTCCAAATTAGCCATGATTTGGCCCTGATTTCTAGTAAGGAAGAGCACAGTAACATACCAACTATAGTGCTTTTAAGTTATAAGTAATACTATGTAATAGTAAGTAATAATATGTTAGAAAATCTTCTACAAATGCAGATTTAGCAGGCATGTTTTATGCCTGTTTAATTTTAGATAATAGAACTAATTAGTTGTTTGTAGTCTTTGTAAACTATACTGCAGTGGTTTTTAAACACCTTGAGAGGTGTCCAAAGATCTCCTAATTATTAGGTAGGCATTCCTGAATATTTCCTGGTTTGTTGAAGTTTATGCAGTTTGAAATAGAGATTCTGGAGATTCTCAATAAGTGATGCTGGAGATGCATCATTAAGGTGAAAGGTACCAATTAAATATTGCTGAGCCATCAGCAGTGACACACAGGTGGAACCCAAATCAGTTGGTTGATTTAGAGAAGTACTTCAGAGGGAAAACACATAACCAGAAGTAAGGACTTACCACAGCTGCCTGTGGGCAGCTGCTGCCAAACTGTCATTTGTTTCATAAAGGAAACAAGCGAAACAATGAATGCCTGGGAACCTGAGTGAGGTTAACAAGAGAAGGTGCAAATCAAAACCAGGGTATTCCCTGCTGCGTGGCAAAACACTCTCCAGCTTGGTGCCCTCTGCTTGCACCCAGTGGGGACAGATGTTGGCAGTTGTTAGAGAGAGTTCAGGATGCCAGTGCTAAATAGGTGATGCTCCCTGTGGTCTGGAGAGCAGTGCTGTCATGCCCTGGGGGTTGGGAAATTAAAACCTGACACCAGTCAGTGGCAGCCTGTCAAAATGACTGTCAGTCACTGGTGTGAAACGCTCACCCTGCTGAGCCAAGCACGGCAGCGCTTCCTGAACCTTGTGTTCTCTAGGACACAAAGGCACTTCTTCCTCCCACAAAGGTCATTTATCCTTCTAGTTACTGTCTGATGGTGCTGTCAGGGTAATTCTTACCTGTCATTTTCTTGCATGTTTTAAATGGGCAAAATTAGCCCTGTTGCTGTGAGAGATTCTTACAACTCTGAGACTGGGAATAAGAGAGATACCCTCCAGTCATATCCCTCAATCATCATGTCCTTTTCCAACCCAACTGTGTTCTCTGGACTTTGAGGGTGAATATCTGCTGGCTTTGTGCTTGAGAGACTCATCACTGCAAACCTGCAGTGTGTAACAGTTCAGGTTTTTTTGGCGCAGACTTTAATGATGTGTGTGGCCCTTTTAGCAGGAAGACACTTGACCAAAAGATAGGAATTTGTACCTGCTGATTTACAAGGCAAACTTTAGAATAAAACAGAGTGAAAAAAATGAAAAGGAGAGGTAAAAGTAAAAAAAATTGCCAAGAAAAATAAAATTTGTTTCCTTTTATCAGCTCCTCCTAAACTATGACACAACTGGTATTATCCCCAGGATCCACTGGGACAAGGTGCATAGGTAGTAGTTATCTCTGCTGTGACTTTTAGTGTTGCAGTCTTTCATGGTAGTGGAAGGTGACTCTACTCCTCCATGTATCCCCTGTATCATCACAAATCTACTCAAGTGCCAGCAAGAGTCAGAAAGGATAAACACACTAATTGAATTAGACAGGAAATACAGTGCTCATCATAGGACTGGAATGATGAACCTTATGTTTGTAAAGAGTTAATGGTGCATTAGTGGAAAGAGCACCAGAAGAAAAAAATTGATCATAATTGCAGTTTCTGTCTCCTTGTGCCATGTATAAAGGCAAGCACCCATGGTTGAAAAAGATGAAAATGTGTGGCTTTGCATTCCCACTAAGCTGTATTTTCTGTGAACCAAGCAATCCTTATCAAATGCACATTTTGGAGCAACAGGGACAGTCCATTGCCCTGAAAGAAGGAGTCCTGAAAGAAGAAAATTCAAGTTAAAATTATTTGTGTGCTACAGAAATAAGCTACATTGGTACTAACAGACTCATTAATAAAAGATAAGCTTTTTTTACATGGTCCACATGCTGCATTATTTCATTTTTGCATGACACCAAGCAACCTTTTCAACATATATGTGTTCATTCAAACAAAATCCTTATATCATCTCTTCAAAACTGATTCAGCGTTTCAAATTCAGGGCCCCATCCACTCCCACTTAAACTCAAAGGGAAGAGTCTCAGTTTAAATGAAACAGGAAAAATTTTGCAGACTATTATGTAGCTCTCGCTGTGATAACAAAGAATTGAACAAATGAATACATTTATTTCTCATACATTTCAGCTGATGTTAAAATTTTATATAATTGCCCTTCACACCAATATTAGGCAACTTTACATTGGCAGCAAATTGGATTTTCAGGCAATACATTAAAGACTGCTGTTTGAACTGAAATGGTGGACTTTTGGCATAGTATTGATTAAAACTGCACAAGGAATGATCAGAGCCAAGGCCACTGTGGATACAGGGACAAAAACCATGAGTCCACTTGCTGGTAAGTAACACTGAATTCCAGGTAGCCAGAAGAAATAGGTTTATTTCTTTCCTTCAAGTTTATAAATGGTGGTGTTTCCCTGCCCTTCTTGAAATACTGATTCTTGCTGTAGCAAGTGTTAGTTCTGTCATTGATTTTTTTTTTAATTGCTGATTTCCAAAAGGCTGGATGCAACACTGCATTTCAGAAACTGTCCCCAGGAGCTCAGAAAGCATTTACCAGGGTGGGTCTGTTCTTCACCATTATTGAATATCCCTTGAATTGTTCTCCACTTCTTGTAACCCTTGTGACATTGCATTTAACTGGTGTATGGTAGATCTTAAATCTGATTTATTGGTTCCTAGATCACCCCTTAGTTTGTTTGATGTAAAAATACAGGCTTTATTTGATGTTACAGGACACAGTCTGAAAGAAATCAGAAGAAACTGCTAAACCTTGTATCTACATTTTTGCACTTTTATTTCTTCAAGCTGACATCATATGTCAGAAAATGTAATTTGTTTTTTCTGAGTCAGTGGTGTGTAAATTTACTCATGACTCACACTGTGTTTGAAGCCTGACAAAGAGTTTCAGTCCCTGCAAATTTTGGAACAGCCCTTCTGAACATTTTGCATCTGCCTAGTTCTGAGTGCTTTTTCTGGGTCAGTTTTATGATTTTGGTACATCAGCCTGCCCTGTGCTGGCTGCCTAAAGATTTTAATTGGTTATTGGAAGTAATCACTTTGCCTGTTTGCAGATAAGTGCTGCTGCTTGGGAATGTAAAGGAATATCGATTTTTGGAAACTCAAAAAGGAAGTTTTGCAAATAAATGATGGGTTTTTTTCTTCAACGCATCCTACTGAGCTTTTGCATATTAACACAAGCTACTTGTTCATTGCAGACCTTTACTTTCCTCTCTCCTGGCTTTGGCTTGAAGCTGAAGTGGATGGACCAGGGCTACAGAAAGAGCAGCAACACTTTTTATTTGGCCTCATGATGCCTCTTAGGCTATTGAGTTGCCTCTCAGGTGTCCAGGAGCCAGTCTACAGCTTTTCTGCCATTTCTATGTGTCTGCAATGGAAGGAATTTATTATCAGGCTTCCCTCACCAAAAAAACCCCCAAAAATAATACCCCCACCCCAAAAATGCACACCTCCCCAAACAAAAACAAACAAACAAACAAAAAAATTATTTTCAGCCCTGGACATGATTTGTTATTGTTTTCTTCCAGCTAAAGCTGGTCTTTGCAGTGAAAAGGGCACAGAACTTGAATTTTCAGTGTTTTATCAACAAAGAGCAGGTTTTTCACTCCCAGCTGTAGTTTTCTGTCACAAAATATTAATCAAGGCTCTTCAGGAGACTGAAAAGCTCTGTCCCAATTACACCCCTGACTTCAGAAATGTGAAGCCAAAAGGAAAGGGACAGTTTTGTCTTTACTCCTTGAAAAATCCCACATTCAACCAGTCTGAAATCATGGGCTGTGAAATGGAGTGTGGAGTCATGACAAGTCCTGCCCCTCATCAGTGAAAAGAATTTGGTTTGAAGCTGGCTCCCTGCCAAGTCTCCAAACCCTACCACAAGAAGTGTGTGTGTGTCCCCCCCCCCAAACCTCAAGGAGAAGAGGGAAAAAAACCCCAAGAGAACCAAAATGAGAGAGAGACAGCTAAAGCAATATATATAAATATATTTATATTTATATTACAGTTATATACAATTGAAATATATATACAATTTCACAAGGAAAAGGGAAAGGGAAGGGGGAAGGGAAAAAAAGGAACAAAACCAGAATAAAATATATATATCCTGATCAATAGCCCAAGATCTAGCAACTAAAAGAATTAGCAAAGAATATCTTACTACTCTCCTTGGGACAATGGAGAGTCACACTGGAGCAACTGCCGGCAACCTCCGGCTCCCAAGGTCGGCAAGGCCTTACCAGGCCTCACTCCCCAACCTGACAGACTCAACAGCAGGGAAACCCGCACCTCCAAAGCCACCGGAAGGAAAAAGAGAGGGCGAAGGCCTCTCCTCCTTTCTTCTTATACCCTGGCTTACGTAAAAATCGTAGGGAATACTGGGTAAATCCGGGCACTTCCTTGGTTACAAACTGGTCACCAAGGAAGGCCTAGACCAAACTACCACCGGTGGAAATCCTTAAACCTATTCCTAAATAAGCACACCCTCAGGATTGTTGTTCTTCCATTTCCAATCTGTTTGAAATGGAAGAGTCTTAACACAAGGAAGGGTCTTAAATCCTGCAGTTCATCTTCTGGATCCCTTTGGTATTGGGGCTGGTGCCTGCAGTGCCAGCTGGGAATTTTTAAGGATTTGAAATGGTTTATATACACACTCTCACAGAAAAACTGATGCTCTGCCAAAGTCCCTTGAGACTGTAGTCCCCAGGATGTACCATGAAGGCTCCTAAATTCTGCAAAACTCTACAGTGAAAATTAAGAAGATGCAGAATTACACATTTTATATTATTGGAAAGATTAATGGGTCACCACTGAGTGGAAATTCTTCATGTAGGCAGATTCTTCATGTAATTGAAGTGATCAGGAAATCTTCAGTTCTCCTGAAAATCTGCTTAGTGAGTTACATAAATCCCTGGTAGGAACTGGTGTGGAAGTAGCTGTGGCATTGTACTCCAGTAGTGCCTGAATGCATATTTGAGTTTGTTTCTTTGGCTAACAGCTAAGAAGATATTTCAATGGGAACTCTCATTTTGCGTGCAAGATGTGCAGGGTCTAGTCTTGAATCTGGGATCTCATTAATTTTTCTTTTATCCTTTCACACACAGAAGTGAGTAAATGTTTGTAATTTTGTGGTTGTTTTGTGTTTTTTCTTTTTTGTTTTGTTTTGTCTTGTTTTGTTGTTTTTTTTGGGTTTTGTGTGTGTGTGTGTGTGTGTGGTCCATTAGGAGGCCTAATGTCTGAATTGTTCTGAATTAATAAATTTTAATTTCTGTGGGAGGCGTGTCTAAAGGCACAAAGGATGTGCCCAGGTACAGAGCCAAGAGAGCATGCCCCAGAGTTAGTAAACTGGTTGGTTAAGAAAGTCACATGATATGTAAGGATAAAAGGGAGCGCAAGTTTGAAATAAAGCGTCTTTGATTACACCACCACGAGGAGCAGATCATTCCTTGTTACACAGGGGCCCTGCCGTTACAAATTTCTTCTAGAACACACTGGGAATTTCAAAGGAAATGCAGGTAGTAACTCTAAGAAGAGTTATGGAGAACAAAAACCTCATGTGCTGCTGCTGGCTCTTAGTTCCAACCTAATACTGCCAGTTTCATGGTAGAATTTCTGGTAGAAATTAAAGTTATCATTATTTTAAGCTTACAGAGAGTAATCAATCTAATAGAGACACTAACAATGTGCAAACCCACGACATTTTAACATATCTTGTGAAAACCTACTCAGCTGTTCTTTCACCCCAGGACAACAGGGCTGGTCAATTCTGAGAGTGTGAAGTCTTGATCATAAATAAGCAGTAGGCTTTTTAGTATGAGCTGCTCTTCAGAGGATCTTAGAACCAAATAAGCTGTTAATAATTTCTTTAAAACTACTTGCTGATATACAGAATAGATTTTCCATGGTGTTCTTCAAGGTTTCCAGAAAATATTCATTCCTTGAGTGGAGGGTGCATCTGGTAAAATATCATATTCTCTGATCACAATTGTGTTCTCACTGTAACACTGCTCTAAAGTTTACTTACAAGCTAATGAAATTGCTGCTGAAATTAGCATTGGAAATTCAGTCACACCACCACTTTCTCATTTATAAATAAATGATTTATTTATAATTTTTATTCATAAGAAATTTATTTTATTTAAAATTTTCAGGACATTTTCATGTTACTTTTTTTCCTTAACTCTGAACATAAACACTTTCAAAGAGACAAACAGGGGCTCTTTGCCACAGAAGCAAAACATTTTCTCTCTTCTGATGGTTCAAATGAGAGACAGAGAAGGAACTGACAAAACAAAATGCTTGAAAACATCCTCTGTCAGCCTCTCCCGATTGTCTGAAGCAACACCTCTGGAAAAAAATAGGCAGCTTTCAAGTATTTCATTGGGAGATGAACTTATTACTAGTCTTATCTTTTCAGTCCAACACACTGGAACAGAAATCCATGAAGGAATCTGAGCAGTTAGGTGTTTTCAGCCTATCTTGTAGGCGCAGTGTTCATGCATATTCACAGTGGCTTCTTGTGGTTAACAGGATTTTATTTTAAAATGTTTGTTTTCACATATCAGCCTTGTCTCTTGGTGAGGCTAAAGACCCCTTCATTCCCTGCCCAGGCAAAACCTGCTGCCAACCCATTGCTGCCTTTTTCCATCAATCCCAGACTTTTCCTCTGTCACAGCAACTGTGTGACTGCCTTTGTTGCATCTGTTTTTAGGAAAAAACCAAAACAACAAAATATATACTGCCTTATAAAGAGACTTTGCTTGGCTGTGCTTAACACTCTGGTCTGTTGAGACAGACTCTCAGTTGGCATGTAAATAATTTTAACTGCTGCATGTGCTGCTTTGC